TCGAGCTGCCGTCAAATTAGGGGTCAGGTTAGTGCGGTTTGACCCTACCTACCTGTTTACCAACAGTATCATTCATAGAATAGCTATGCTTCAACATGCTTTATCTTTTCTCATTGCACTTTCCAGGTGGTTTGACCTGTTGACCCTTGACCAAGGTGGTTTGCCCTGGTTTCTATGACTTCATTTCCCCCAGTGGGTATTACCATCGAACATGAAGACAATGAATTTTTTTTTTTTCAAATAGTACAGAACTGTAATTTTGTTTATCATTTTCTTACGGATTTAAAATATCAAATAACTACACTGTGGTCATCATGGTGATTTTTTCATTTGTTCATCAGCTGCTCTTTTGAAGTGTGACAGCTACCTGGAAGTGCCTACTTTTCTTTAAAAAAAATGACTTCTTTCTTATCTATATTATGCCTGTTTCTTCTCTGCACCTGCATGCCTTTCCACACAAGCAGCACTCAACACAGGTACCTTCACGTTTCTCGTTGTGCTCAATCTCTTCATAATCGACAGTTTACCTTCAGTTAGCAGAGTAAATAAATCAGAGAACAAATTATCCAACAGATGAGGCAGGGTACCTGATTAATAAAACTATGCATAAATTATTATTATAAATACAAATAAAAAATCATTTCAAATTTTCTAAAATGATTTATCATTAAAATGTTTCGTCTAGTTGTGCTTGTGATATTAAATAAAGACAACCCTGAATATCCAATACCATGAAGCTTCCTGAACTTTCAGTAGTCTATCAACTTAAATTAATATTTAAATTAATAATCCTGTAATTTTTAAAAGGTTTTAAATTTAGATTTATCTGTTATATTTATATATCATTTCATCAGCTCTTTGTTTCATTTTGTTTTGTCCTTATACTTGTTTTGTCTTTGTCTTTGTTTATGTTTCTGTTCTTATTTCTGTTTATATTATATTATTTGACAATTGAATTTATCATTTTCATTACATTTATTTTCTCCCTTCTAGTCGACAAAGACGTGAACTTTTTCACGCTCTCCATCGTCAGCATTCCAGTAGTTCTTGTGGAAGGTGAACACATTTCTCCCACTATCTATGTGGTTTTTTCTTGATTTCATTGCCATGGCTTTAACAATCTCACATATCGTACTAAAATTTAAATGTCAGTCAGATTAGACCTACAAACATAAACCTAAAAAAAGAACAAATCACCAAACAAAATCTATTATTAAAAGTAGTAATTACTACTCATAAAAAAATGTTACTGTTTTGTGTGACCACACATTCTTCACTACTGCCAACACTGATGGCTATATCGGCAAACAACTTATTGTTCTGATGATGTGCCGTAGATGTAGTTGTCATGACGATGCAGTTTCCAGGATGTTATCATGCATGAATGTTTGTGCAATGCATGGATACCAATATGTCATGATTTGTATTGCCAGTCTAGGTTCTGACATCTTATAAGCTTTATTGA